TCCGTATCAAGCAGTAAGCCGATGGGAAGCATGGCGGAAGCAAGGAAGAAAATACGTTAATGCTCATAATTCAATATGAAAACATTTCATTGCACTATTTACATCGTAAATCCGCGTCCGTGCCCGCACCACGTTTGCCCCAAGACACCCGCTTTTATGCGGCCATTAGACGCGCTTTTTCCTCACAATCCCGCTGCGCGTTTTCTTTCCGCCGACGCGGCGGCGTTTTTGTGCGTTCTATTTTCTTTTATTTTCCTTTGTTGCGTTATTCAACTTGTATGATGTCGCTTTGTTCAATTTTGCTTTGCTTTGCTTTATTCAAGCTTCTTTGCTTTACACCAAAGATATATAATAAAAACTATTGCGGATTCCAAGTTTTCCTAAAAAAGAAAAAGAAAAAAAAATCAGCAACAGCGTCAAATGTATGAGTTACAAATAGAACAGAATTCAATCTTTGTCAAACAAACCTTTTATGTAATATAATGAAATGGTAATGAGATGAAAGTAAATTTAAACATTATTTAGATAATGCCTATTAATAAATTGGATTTTGATATGCAGATGTTGCCAAAAATCAAAATTGTAATATAATGTTGATGGTACAAACGTTTTCGATTAAAATTGCCACTCAAAACTCAATTTTGTGAGGTCGCACCAAACGCAAGAATTTAATTATATTCAACTCAAATGAAAATGACATATTGCAAAAAGCAACCGGTAAAATTTGATTACCGCAGTACAGCAAAATAGGTCACACATGCAAATGCGACATGAGCAGAGTAATTAAGTTTTATTGATTTGAAATTTAGCACTAAAATAACACTATTTAATTGACTCCAACAGCATAATTTATATAACAAATTTTGTACGTGTATTATTACTCTTGTCACACCTTGATTGAATAAAGAAAGTTTTGCACAATTTAATGCAGAAACTTTTTGTCTGCATACATTTGACTATATTTACATTGCACTCACGTTTATGCCGGGGCGGTCGCTAACATTCTACGTGACATGTGGCAGCGCAAATCCACGCCCCGCATGCCATTCTCAACTTTTCCCGGCGCCGCCACCAAGCTTTTGATATCGTGGAGAGATGTCGATAAGCGCATTGGAATACCACACGTTCTGGTTAAAGTTGCTATGCAATGTTATATGCATTAAACTCGTTCACAGAGAGGTACTTAACAAGTTTTTTGAGTTTTAAATTTCATGTAAGTACTTAACAAACAAGCAGCTTCCGAATGAACTTAAAGTTTTATTAAACTTTTGATTAAAATAATAAAAATGTTTATTATTTTGTTATTGATGGATAAATTGTGTTCTAAATTTATTTTTGCTTCAATAAATTGGCATAGTTTACAACTATTAGTGTTAATTATTGGGAAAGCGCTAATTGAAAAGCGTATGCATGTAGGTTGGTGCATTCCAAACATAGATATCGTTATAAACTTTAATTATACGACCAAACGAAATACCAGAATTTAATTTATGGTTTTGTTTATATTAAATAACATAAAATGAAGAGATTGTTAACTGGTGATACAAAAATAATTGAAAAAAGGATAAAGCAAGAAAATGTACAGTGCTGTTGACAATTTTAGTCAATTTCATGCTTAGTTCTCTCGAAATATTGGACATTTTCTTTGAATCAGCTTCTTTTGTGACATTGCCCTCTGCTTTCACTGCTTTCATAATGTCGCACGCATTCTTGGAGCACAGACAAGCGGTGGCAGTTGTTTATATTTACTGAAGCGGACGCAAGAAAAATAGAATAATGTCTACCCGCATGTGAATATTATAAAGAAAAAGATGTAACATTTTAAAGCTTGTTTTCCTACGCAGGCAGACCGCGCAGTTATACAGTGGTAGATGAGTGTAAAGCGAGTCGCAAAATGAAGACAATATTTGTGAAAGAATGCGAGTTGCTTTGTGTGCGCAAGCAATCCTTGGAAAAAAGGAGGATACGCGCAAAGTAAAGTGTAATCTTCAAAGGACTTGGCGAGTATGCATGAAAAATGTCTCGCTTTGCAAATTTATTTTAATATTGGGCGCGTTTATCATAGAAATGAATAAAAAATCAAAAAATGCAAAAAATACAAAAATTTTAATAAGTAGTAATAGCAAACTTTATCCCGTGACTAAAACTTATGACTAAAGTATTTTAGTCACGGTCTTTATCATAGATATGAATAATAATTCAAAAAATTCACAAAAATACAAACATGTTACTAAGTAATAATAGCAAGCTCCAACCCGTTACTAAACCCCGTGACTAAAGCACTTTAGACACGACTTTGGCTGTCCGTGTTTAAAATTACACTTTTTGTGTCTCAAAACCGTGGAAAATTGACGTTTTTAAGGTGGAAAACAAAATTATTAATTATCAAATGTTTTAACGTAGAAAGTTAGCTTTAGATTATATAGAATTTGTAGACATGAGACGGACATCCATATTCTCATTCATGCTGTTGCTCATCCGCCCAGAACGCATTCATGCGCGCACGTTTGCTTTCCATATCACCATATTCATTCAAACCATTGTACGCATTCACAACCGGCATTGCACTGGCGTGGCGTTAACACAATCAGCTGAAAAGGCCGACGTCGTCCATCCGCCACGTTGACGTGTCAATCGCACTTACACTCCTGAAACACTCCTGAAGTACATTCATAATGGCAATAAGCGTGGGATGAATGTAATATTGTGAAATACTCATATTCCTCGAGTGATACTTGACAAACGTCTGAAGTTTTCAGTTTCTAAGTAGCATTACCCGCGTAGTTGCAGAGTGAAGTGAATTGTAACCGTGGGTAGCTGTAGCTGTTGAATATATATGATCTTGAACGCGACTCGGTTCCGGGAAGGGTTTCAATTTCGTGCAGCTATGTCGACGGCAGGTTGCTTCTTAACTGTGGGAATGTTGTTGCGGTCTACTGCTTAATTGGTTTCGTGATGTTCATTCATCTTGGAATTGGTAGTTTTGGAATGGTCAGACATTCCAAACTCTCCACTAAGCAAACACACTCCTATCGGTATCTGTATCTGCGAGTAGTTTCATTGATTTCCATGTTTCAACAGGAGATACAAAATGTTCTATTTTATAAACGCAAAAACTGATATTCTCCGAAGCTCTGAAGCAATATTTATTCTAGAATTTGTTTCAAGTCCTCTGGTCTCCAATATCAGTCCGTATTTAAATTAAACTCAATTCCCACAGGCAATTTTATTTCCGGTTGTGTCTTACAGTCCAGTTATATTGCACTATATTGGATTTTTCGTGGCGCAAACTTTATTAAATATTTTCAAAGGGTCGATGTTGCAGGAGGAGTCATATTGAGATTTCAAGTTTTGCTCTACCTGCAGTACGTAACAAATTTAACATAACCTAAATTGATATCCGGTAAGCGCTGTGCACACGCTGCATTTGCTGTCGGTACACAATGTTATGCATCAGGACGTATACATAATCTAGAAGATTATTGCATTGGATTGTTGCGCGCGAGCAAACTATACCTATATATGGGTGGTGATATTTAATGCCTGGACGGTGAGCACCAGTGGAACTAAACGAGAATGGTTCGATAAGACTATCGGACGGACTATGCAACTCGTACACGCTCAAAAGCGTAAATCATAATTAATCAGCTTTCGTTTGGCTTTGATAGGATTTGGATTATGTTGTTCTGTTCTATATTTCTAGCTGGAATAGAATTTGCGTATGATTTGCAGTTTTTGAATAAAAATGTTCTATTATGCTCGGAAAAATATATTATTAATATTAAATCCCTCGGAAATGACGTCATTGTTGAGGTTTTTTCTCCAATTGATTCTAAATTTTATATTTTGAGTTTATAAAATGTTAAATTGAGTTAATTAGATTTTTTACCCGCGATTGCATAATATCGGCCTCCACATAGCAAATTGCTGATGGACAGAGTGTGAGAAAGGTAACGACGAAGGAATTGCGAATGGGGATGGCATGTTGAAACGTTAATGGCTGAAGCGGCACATGCCGTCAGGCTTTGCTTTCATCCGGATTCCCGCGCGCTGGGAGCAGCAGGAAAAGGACTCAAAGGCGAGGGACGGACGCTGCTGCGGCCGAGAAAGGGCGTGGATTGTGCTAATTTGAAAAATCGAGTTTGCACAACACGAATTGATTCCTCGACCGAAGCGCTAAAGCAATTATCTTTTTTTTCGTGTCTGCTGAAGAGAGCTGATTTGTACTACGGCGAGAAAATCATCGCAACATTTTTCTATTGTACATGCTGCAAAAAGAAATCAAAAACTGTAAAACGTTGTAAAATTAATCAAAACTTAACAACAAAAGTAGACAACTAGTGATTGATTGTGGCAGGATTTACCAAGGTGTACCTAGAGAGTTATTACAATATTTTCTGCACTTTAACTCATAAATAATTATTTTTCAGAAGTTTGAATGTAAAATCTGACTAATTATATCCAGCGCCATTAATTCAGCGTAGTTTCCTTGTGCAACTAATGAAATGAAAAAGCAATTTTCCCATTTCTCAAACTATGATAGTTAACGACCTGCTAGGATTGACAAAAAGTTACGCCGAAGCGAAAAGAAAGGCAACCAACCCAAAATAGTTTATCTGCACGTTAAGTTTTAGACTTAACGCTGTCATAGATAAATGGTCCGTATGAATTTCACACCCTATTTCTTTAGTTTTAGCCCGGCTGCTCTAAGAAACTCTTCAAAGTGACAGCTTTGCATTTCAGAATAAAACATTATCTTGATTCATTTAAAGTCGTTTTTCGTATTCGTTTTGCACGTCTTGATTTATACAAAAGGAAACCAGTAGGAGTTTTATCTAAGGACAAATTACGTTTAATAAATTATGCGGTCTAGATTTTTAAAGTTCCTCTTAGAATTTCTACTTACTCAATATCAGTTTCAGGCTTGACTTTTATCTCTATTCCTTTCATCGAGTGTATATATTATAATGTATAATGAGCACTTTTCTTTCTCATTGCAGAAGCCCATCGGGCGTTGGAGCTTCTTGAAGACTACCATTCAAAGCTGATCAAGCCGCAGGACAAACAGCTGCGACTTGCCATTGAACGAGTGATCAGGATCTTCAAGTCAAGGCTTTTCCAGGCCCTCTTAGGTGCGTTGAATTTGTTTTTAAATTTTTATTCCTGCGAGTTTAAGAGGGTTTACTCTTTGCGTTATTTAAAAACTCATTAGTGTTTTGGGCGTCGGTGATAATTATAAAATTTTTCAAATTCCCCATCGCAGAAAGTTTCCTTGTTAAAAGTTTTTCTTTGGCGCGTATTTGTCGCGCTTCGCTACCAGTCAAAAACAAACATTTCAGGCGTTGTATGCAAATGAAATAAATCCATATTTATGTTAGTTATTCATGTAGAATTTGAAATATTCTGCGGCGAATGCGTGAATGGGCGATGATCAATTTTGATAAAATAATATTAATTTATTTTAATTAATTATAACACGTAAAATTTGGTAAGCATTTGCGTAGTTAATATTAATAATTAATTAATTATTCATATTGTTATTGAATATAATGAAAAATAATTGCATAAGTTGAAAAGTATCGCTTGACCGAAATATTGGCTTCAACCTGTAATAATTATTTAATAATTAAACCACAAACATTTGTATAATTATTAATATTCAGGTTGCACACACAAAATATCATATCACTTATTATTTTCTATTGTGGGTTTATAGATATAATTCATTATACCATACAAAAACGTAATTTTCCTATAAATTAATTAATCAAGTTTCAGTTTTGTTTCGAAACCTGCACGATGCCAGCCTAATTAATCACGCTTCCCTCTTCCTCCTACGCTCTTTACCAACCCTTGCACCTTGGGCCTTAAAGCCTTTGCAAACTTGAAACTTGAGCAGCAATGATGAATCAACATACAACATTCGCAACAACGCAAAACTCAAACTTAAACAACTTTTACGTGTTCCAACTTCATTGACTTCTTGCGTTTTTGAGCGTTGTCGCAAACAAAGACGAAATTCACGCGTAATTTAAACTTTTCATCTTGGAACTTTATATTTTTCAAAAACAAAAAGGTGACTTTTTTTGAAAATTAATATCTCATAAACTGAAAGAGATAGCAACCAACGAATTACTGATTATGAAAGACTGGAAAATTCTCTATCAGATAAAAATATAAAATAATTACATTTCCTGCAATAAAAGGTCGAAAAACGCGACTAGAAGTGCTAAAAAGTGACATTTTTCAATTTTTACCCATTTTATTCAATTGCGAATATCTCGTAAACTAAAAGAGATAAATAGGTACAAATAGCAGAGATTATTCTACGGACTAATATCTATCGGATAGACTAGTTAAAGCGGAAATCTGGGAGATGAAATTTTAATTCTTAAGAAATAATTTCCAAGGCGGAGGGGATGCTTGATACCTTTTTTCGACGAAGGTGATCCTACAAGCAATAATGTAAATTATTTGCTAACACATTTATAAAACACACGTTGGATTGAATTCAAGTTGTTGTAGAGTTGTGATGATGGAGGCGCTGCGCATTGTGGTTATGTTTATTTCATCTACAAAACAGTCTTCTGCTGAGCGAATGCAAACAGCAAAATTGCTAAACAAATATTAAAACTCGGCAACAAGAGGAAATCATGTTAGTTTAGTTTGCTAACTCTTTGTTTCAATATGAGCGCAAAATGCAGAACAGTGAACAATTTTTATCAATATTGACAACCTATAACCGGATGGAAAGTTTCGAATGCTGAAATTTTGATTACATGAACACAATGTTACGTGACACAAGCAATGATCAATTGTTACGTTCCAAGTACAGAGTTACCACATCATGAAAAACTCAAAAATTAAATTGGTGCACTAATTAATTATTGATTTTGTGTTGATTTACATTGAAATATGATCTAGAAATAAATGTATTCATTATTTTAGTAAACACTTTAACCAAAACTGTAATTTTAAAGAATACTGGCTTTCAGAATAATGTAGGCAACCAACCGAACTCATTAATTCAAAGTAAGAGTATGCAATTCATATAGCATAATACAAAGCTTGCGTTAAATTGAAAGTATACTCTGGTGACTTTGTAATTTATTTTCCTGTGGTTGCATTTTATTAGCTACATAAAATGTATACAAATTTATAAATCAAGCTATGACAGATATTATTTTTAAAAGCCAGTAATTCTGCAGTTCTAGTTCAATTCCATGCGAAACACAGACCAGACTGAATGGTTCGACCTGAAAATTTAATTAAGCATGAGTCCTCGACGTAATGAATTCTGGGCGGTTCTGGTGCACGTCCTCGCTCGCCTGTCGCATAAATTTCGAACAACCTAAACGCTTCCAAAGCCAGAAAAATCCAACAACACTAAAAGTATGTCTACGTTCACGTGTCTGCGCGTATTTTTGTTTCGATTTGTTGTTGCAGTTGCAATTGCAGCGTTTTCATTTAGAATAGAAGTGGATTTAACTGAAAACTGCGAAAATCCAAATAGGTCAGACTTTTCCACACATATGTAACACTACTGAAGTAAATACTCTGCTTTACTATGTGATAAATTAATGTGAATGCGGATTTTCTGAAAAAAATCTAAATAAAAATGTATTCAATGTTTCCAAATGGAAAGTTGTTTGAATAAATCTTGTTTTGAAGTTTTAACTTGATTTGAGTGAAAATACAACTTCCTGTATATCGGATACAGTTCTATTATGGCGGAGTGCAATGCAGGATTAGGGCAAACGCGCAGATTAGTGAGTGAATGCGGAGAATGAAGCCATTTCGCGCTTTCGTGTGCCAAGTGCAATTCTCGGACTTTACGTAATTCCTATCGTAATTCGCTTAGACGAATATCCGGAAGGAAGCAACAGATTTACGAACTATCTCATTCCTATGACGACGCCTCTGAACATGATAACCTATGCAAATTGTTCACTTTGAGCAGGCGATTACAAAAGTGACTTACCAGCGTTAATTCGTGTCGATGCAAATTATTATCACGATTATGCAAAATCAAAGACATAATATGATTAAATTTAGCATGTAATCATGTCACGGACGAGATGTGATAAAACCAATTACGTATTTAAAAGCAGTGTTCGGTACTTATATCGCAACTCAATCATTGTCCAAATTAATTACTTGGTAATAAATTCTTATTAAAGGTTTAAATAATTGTCAACAATCATGAGGAGCTTTAAATTAACATTCCACCTACGTATTTGTGTTTGTATCCTTATTTCCCCACATCTAATTATAGATAATTAGGAACTGTTTGCCATGCAAGCTGACACGCATTATTAATTTTGCTTTAATTAGCCAACAAATTTGTGCCGGGAATGGGCGTTCCATGAACGCAGGATAAATTGGCTGTGACGCAATACTGCAAACAGTAAACACTACTTGAACGGTACACAAAAAGGGCTGAATTCTCGAAATGCAAAACAGTGAAAAATAATACTCACCAAGGTAGAAAAAATACAAAAGTTTTTAAATTGTCGTTATACCGCTGTGATTTTGATGGTTATGCCGGTATTTTTTACTTTTTTCAGAATTAATTAATTTTAATGAGTAGCAGTTGATAATCGCATAACTGTAGTCATCTCAACGTAGAATGTTGGTAATTTGTCGTTGGAGCTTTACCGCGCGCATACAATCCTCTCGTAAATATGCAATAAAATTTAACGATTTTACTCCAGAGTGGCGAAGACCATCTTTGCTTTGCCGGAAGCTAAAGTACGTCTCATGTGTCTCTTCATAGTCTATAAACCAAATTACAAAGTGCTTTCATTATTACAATATTAGTCTTATAAATTTTTAAAGATATCAAAAATAACACTTTGGGTAATTTATTAAATTATTATAAAATATTTATACACTTTACTGTATAGAATAATGGTAAAAACATATCACCTAACGAGTAACGTTGTAAATTAAAAAATATACCTTCTGAAAATCAGAAAAGAAATTTGTTTCTCTTTTATGTTATTGATGCAGAAAGATTACAATTAAAACACTTTATTATTCATTATTCTGAGTATTGTAAGTTGTCAGGATTAAAAATATTGAAAGCATAGAATTTTGAAGATGAGAAACGTGAGGCATTCTTGTTAATGTGAAAGTTATTCAAATCCAGGATTTATCCATTCCAGATATTCTTATATTCTTATGGATTTAAAAAGTTTGCGAACTCTGTATAAGAATGAGATTGAACGTTTGCGAAAGAAGGATAAACTGACTACATTATGGAGGATTCACGTAAATTATCGATTTCCAAATCTTCCTGCTTAAAATTCGGGAGTTGTATCGCTGCACCATATTGATCAGAAAGTTTTTTTTTCTTATGTTGACATCAATTTGCATGTACTTCATTGTTGGATTGATAAAAGTATATTTTATACAGCGGGTCTGCAGTAATAGTATATTTAGTATCAAGTGGCTAAAGGGGAGTTTATGGCACGAAATTGACGAGAGCGTAGTGAGCGTTTAATCAAGTGTTCAACAACCAAGCCACGTGATACTTATGCATAGCATTTTATAAGGTCTTGTGCAGCACCGTAGGCAAATGCGCAAGCGCAAGCTGCACCTCGTGACTAAAGTCTGTGACTAAAGTATTTTGTGAAAAACTCTTTAAAGGTGGAAGTAGAAAAAGTTAATTTTTATTTATTTATTTTTCTTAGAAAAGGCAAGATTATAGAATATAATACAATAAAAAAGAAAGAAGGTTTGTTTACTTACTAAAATAAATAGTTCACTGAACTGTAAAGTCCGCCGATGATTTTATGAGTGCACTTTGCATATAATGCGCAAAACGTCCATAACTCATACTTAAAACTTGATAACTCCTGATAATCTTTGAGAAAAACTTGCGAAAGTGCATAATGCAATATAGTAAAGAGTGATTAATGTCAAATATTATTCCAACACGCACAAAAAAGCGCAAATTGTTAATTTTCTAATTAAGATAATGATAATTTATTGACATATAAACATTAACTTTTAGAGTGCAATATATTTTTTATCTAAATTAGTCAAAACCATCAAATATTTCTTAATTGCTCAAATAAATATCACTAAGTGTTGAAAGTTGATAAAAAAAGCGACCAACAAATTTCATTTCATTTGACCATTATTACTCACATATCAAATTATAAATTTTACTTTTACTTGAGGCCGCTAGTTTGATGTTTAACACGTGCTCGAACCGCAAACAGAAAAAAAGAAAACCGGAGGTGTAATCAAACCAAGTTCAACGTCAAAAACAAATTTCTTAATGTGTTTACACTAACAACTAGGATTAGTTAATATTACTCTGAGTGTTATTAGTATATATATTATGATGTTAGTCAGTTGTGGTGATTCAAATTAGAGAAAGTAAAAAAAAGTCTCGTCATCACCTCAAACAGTTCAGTTGTCTTCGTTTACTCGTAGGACCAACTGATGAATTGGAATGTGAAGCATTGTGTTGGTGTTATGCGGTCTTTCACCTTCGTTTATGTCAAGTTATTGGGAGAAACTTTCTTTTACTCTTTCCGAGTCAGCATTTTTTGTTTGTCCCAAAACTTAATTATAATCAGCTTTAAGTGATGCTGTTTACGATAATGATAATAATAAATACAAGAAACGAATGAAAGTTTTATATATATTTTTTTATTTTTAACAAATTTTAAGCGCTTTTTTGCATGAATTTCTGCCTTAAAATAAAACATTTTTAAATAACAAGTAAATAATATTAGACTAGACATTCATAACGAATTTAAAACAGGCCAATAAGCGAGTCAAATTAAATCGGTCAGTATTTATAGCCGCCGTTACTGTCGTACTGCTGATTTATGGTCTCGGGGATTTTATAACTCGAGCTAGAAGTGCCCCCGTGATAACCGGAAAATCCGGAATATTTCCCGGTCGAGAAGGTGGCCGGGTATTTTTCGTAGCTGAACGAAGGAAAGTGCTTGGCGTAATCGCTGCCACTGCTATGACTGTTTAGGTATTTGCCGGCATATCCGCTAGCGTAGCCACTGCCCCCGAGATGTGCGCTGGAGGAGGAGCCCAGCGAGGTGGAAAATCCGTGTCCGAACTTGTAGCCACCGGCATCGGAGTGATAAGCGTGCTGAAGATGGGCGCCTAGTCCATTTGTAAACTTATGATCGCCGCTAAAGCCTCCGCCTGCTCCGTGGCCGCTTCCAAAATGGTGAGAAACACCACCGCCGTGACCACCACGCAGCTTAGAGGATAGGCCACCTGTGAGCCCAGCAAGTATCGAAGAGCTATGATGGTTAGATCCGTGATAATGGGGAACGTCATAATGCTCATTGTGATGATGATGGTGATGATGGGCGCTATGATAGTTCAAAGGTTTGAAGTGATCCTTGTGGAAACTGTGCTGATCAAACGAAACATGTGGAAGTTCAAAATGAGGAAGTTCTTGGTGTTGATGTTGGAATTGATGAAGGTCAAAGTGATGATACTCCTTGTGGGGCACTTTCACCGGTACATGGTATGGCTTCTCAATGGCGACTGGCACTTTCACATACACTGGTTGCGGAACCGGCCGCTCGACTGTGATGGGATACGGACGTTCCACATGCACTGGAACTGGTTGCGGTACCTCCACTGGTACAGGTCGGGGTATCTCAACTGGCGTGGGGATTTCTACTGGTACAGGCACCGGGCGGATATGATTAACTTGATATGACTGTGGGACTTCAATTGGAACAGTTTGGATGTTCTCTGATACAGAAATAGTATCATACGCATGGGAAGTACCTGGATTACCAATGGGTGCGCCATAATCCGTATTAATACTTGATGATACCCCAGATTCTACTGAATTATGACTTCCATCTTGGGATGAATAGTAGTTTTGATTATTTTGATTTAAAATTTGATTTTGATTTTGGCTGATAGCATTGTAATCAACAGAATGCCCCAATCCAACAAGACCATTACCAAAGGTTACAGTAGTGTATTTATGACCGCTTCCACCAACACTTGAAGCTTCTCCAGTTTGTTGATAATTAGCCCCGGTTGTTAAGCCAGAGCTTTGGTATTGAGCTCCTTGACCTGATAACGCAGAGTTTTGATACTGAGGAATTTGTGCCACCTGTGCCACTTGCTGCGCCGAGGGTTGATAACTCGCCAATAAACCTTGGTTATCTTGCGAGCTTTGACTCAGCACTGCTTGCTGTTGTTGCAGTTCCAGTTGTTGTTCTTGTTGCTGATGTTGTTGCAACTGCTGTTGTTGTTCTTGAACTCCGACCCAACTAGCACCGACTGATCCTGCATCCGAGGCTGAAGTTGCTGAAGCGCTTAATCCGGCGGTGGTGGCATATCCGGAGGTCTCTTGCTGTGCAGCGGCTGGCGGCGGTCTTAAATCTCCCGTGATATCGCCATGAAGCACTCCACAGCTAGCGTACGCTAGACTGGCTACCAAAATCTAAGGAAACACAATCAATTAATAATAGCAAAATTTATCAAGTGTGGAATTAATATATGTACCCACCAGCAATCGCATCCTTTCGTGGCGGTGCGTGCGTGCGCCAAAAATCAAATGTGACAACAAGTGCTCTCGTTTCGGGTTTTATACCTTGACCGCGCCTTCCGTGGTTCGGCGGCGCGAAAAAAGGAAACCGCTGTTACACACGAAGAGATAATATGCATCACTTTCGTTCTCGATGCCTGCGATCGCCGGCCGCGGTTGCTCATGTCCGTGCCCACTCTGAAATCGCCGAAATTAATTAGGCGCTTTTAATACAACGCATTCTGATATACTTGTATCACATTCTGCGGAGCGAATTTCTCTTCGTCGCTCTTCGGGCGTGCATTCCGTCATCGGAAAGACCGCCAATGGACGAACACATGCTTATGAGACTTTTGATGATAAATCGTTATTAATGCAGTTTATTATGAGCCATTTGCCGCGGAATTCGAGCGTGTGAGATCGCAGGAAGAACACCTGTAAGGTTGAAAAGAAAAAGTGAAGCCATGCGGATGTTCACATTTGTAAAACATAAATTATTATGAAATCATATTGATTTCAACTGTAGTTTCAACATGGATAAGTACAGAAAATTATATTTCATGAAATTAACTTTGGAATTACCCGAAAAATTTAATAATTTTTTTGATTCATTAATATTGATACATAAATTACTGTAAATAAAATAATTCAGTTCTTTTGCATCTCAACGCTTTCTCCAAATATGATACATTTAATTCTCTAATCATTTCTTTGCTTTGATTTACTGATTGCATTGTTATTTCTGCTGCACACTTAAAAACTGAACAATGTGTCAACATAATTTATGATTTCGATAAATACTTTCTCTGAGATTTGTTTCACAATCAAGAACAACACCAAGAGCATTTATAACATAATTTAACCAACAAACATCTTAATAAAACTCAGTCAAATAGTCTCTTGTCTCTGCCAATGCCAATTTAAAAACAAAAATCGATTTCTTTTATATTCAAATCAGTTTTCACCTGTTCGCCATAACACCGCAATCAATATCGCATAATTTCAACGCTGAGATTATGTTACCAGTTACCAGCATCAAGTCGAATTGATTGTGGAAGCTTGCGCTCGACGTCTGAGAACAATTACGTTTTGCTAAGTTCTAAAGCACCATGCATAAAACATAATGGCGTCCTTTGTCTTTTGCCGACCAGCTTCGATGTGGCAACGACATGTCGTGACAATAAACCAAGATTACGTCTGGTGGAACAATTAGATTATAGTAAATTTAGTGTAGTGTTTGGTTTGTAAGACTTTAAAGTTTTACAAATTGACATTAAATGTATCGGCTTCTACATGTTTTGCATCACGTAACACGTGATAAATCTGTGTTACGAGTACGTTCACAAGATGCGAAGTATTTTGCGATGTCGTGTGGTCATCCACAATCCACATCATAAGCATGACTGCTTGTGACCTGTGAGAAACAGTGAGAAAGTACTCACTGGGCGTAAACCAGTTTAAGAAAGTAACATTTTAAAGTTGTGCGATGCCATCTTAAGAATGTTTTCATGGGTGTGTGTGTATAATATGTTGAAACAGAATATGTAAAACCAAATTATACATAAATGTTTACAGCTGTAATCAAAATATCATGCATATCGTATTAACATTTGGGTTTTATTTAATGTGAAACTAATCTTTGCGTCTGCATTTAGGATTTAAATTAATCCAAATTTGTAAAATTTATATTACAGAACATTCGCACGGTTTTAATGTGTTTAATAGTATATAATATTATTTTACGTAATAGTTTAATTTCAACTGGAATAAATTTTGTGATAATCTCGTGATATTTGCAATTAGACGCATTAAACCGAATGAATTTTGAATCGAATTACCACCGCTCACATTTGCAATTCGGTATTCGTTCATGTTCCCTGCAAAACGGAATATTGACCAACGGCCTGGACCGAGGACGCAAATTGCAATGACATCATTTAATCGCAATTAACGGCATATTGCATCGCTGCGCACCAATCCGCCCCTGATTAATTAATTCGTCTGCCGATCCGCAGCGAATGATAAGGGTCGCGCCCTGAATATAAAATGATTAATTGCCAGCTTTGCACTAACTGCTTTTTTAAACTAATTTTGACTTTTTTTCTGTTTCAGGTGAGTTGGTAATTAATTATAATCTTCAAAAGGATAATCTTTCAAAACTAACACATGAAATCATAAGCGAAAATATGAAAAGAGAACCATTATTACGAAAAACTTGAATAAAATGTAAGTATTTTAAATTTTTATAGTAAAAATTCTGAATATTGAATATTAAGTACATGTTTACTAATTAACTTATAAAAGAACAATGCCTTCTTGTTTTCGTAGAAGAAATTTGCAATTTAAACTTTAACTCGCAAAAACCATTTACACCTCCTTTTAACGTAGGCAACCAAACGTACCGCATCCAATGGCACCGCATACAGCGCCAAACGCAGGAACAGAACAGAAATCAATAACGCGGCAAAACATTCGTAATATTATGTTCATAATTCATTAACAGTGGAGTAAATATATCTGAAAGTGATTCTGGACGATAGCTGTAACTACAACACAGGTAGGCTTATCTTATTCTGCATTGTGCTATATTAAAATTGAATATAATCAATCAATATTCCTTTCTAACCTACAACCATGTTTACATTTAAATTTTCTATGATAATTTACTGAATTTCTACCTGAATTGTTTTAGAATGATGTTAATGTCACTATCATCGTATCTGCAAGCGATTGACAAGTACTGGGACATGCAGGATGGCTACAAAATTGCGCAATTACTCTCAATCAAATACAATCAAGTTGCAAATCTTGCGCAGGAAAATCCAGGCAATCTAGTATCAAAACTGGTCAAGATACCTATTGATGAAATAGTTGCATGTCATCTCAAATGTGTATTTTATGCAACTAACCATAAGTTCCTGGATGCATACCAGCAGCAGAGCCAATTAACACAGGCTTTAACAAAAATAATGCAAGCCAGGAGGGAGGAAAATTGGTTCCTGCCTTTGATGTATGTAGCTTGTTTAGATCTGCGTCTCCTGGCACAGCGTGCCGAAAAGGATGGAATCGGTGACACTGATAAACCAGGCGAGATCCTCGAAAAGGCTGCAGAATGTCTCATGGGCTGTTTTCGTGTCTGCGCTGCCGATAACCGCGCATCAGAAGAAGACACAAAACGTATTGGCATGCTAAATCTCGTCAATCAGTTGTTCAAGGTGTACTTTCGGATAAACAAGCTGCACTTGTGTAAGCCTCTGATTAGGGCGATTGATTCACTGCCGTTCAAAGAGAGCTTTTCGCTGAGTCAACAGATAACGTATCGGTACTTTGTGGGGCGGAAGGCGATGTTTGACAGCGACTACAAGGCGGCCGACCAATACCTTACCTATGCGTTTGAAAACTGTCACAGATCAAATAAAAAGAACAAGCGCCTGATCCTGATTTATCTCGTTCCGGTGAAAATGTTATTAGGGTATATTCCAAGCAAGCGCGTGCTTGAAAAGTATGATGTTGTGCAGTTCTGGGACTTGGTGCAAGCAGTAGTCCAAGGAAATTTGCGCGTGTTCGATGAACTCATGATTGAACATGAAGAATTTTTCATAAAGTGTGGGATTTATTTGATTGTCGATAAACTTAAGATTATTGCTTATAGGAACCTATTTAGGAAGGTGTATTTAATTTTGGGAACGCATCAGATACCTGTGGAGGCATTACAAACTGCACTGGTGTCATTAGGGCAAGCAGATGTGGATTTGGATGAGACACAGTGTATTGTTGCGAATTTAATTTACGAAGGAAAGATTAAGGGATACATTTCACATCAGCATAGGAAAGTTGTTGTCAGCAAACAGAATCCTTTTCCACCACTCACTTCCTTATCATATCCAACTAATGGATAAACATATTTATTGCAACAAAATATCATAGATAAGTTTCATCAGTTTGTAAACAATATAGACCCAAAAGACGAACATCATGAGGTTATAATTGAGCACAAAGTAGAAGAAACACATTTTGACCAACGTGTTTTCTTTGAATTGTTTTTGAACATTGTGAAAAAAGTGCACAGCCAACTGATACAAGTAAATTAATTTTGTAAAATACTTCCAATACACAAAATATGATGAATTTTTATCAATTTCACATTTGGTGTTTTCCTGGGTTTTCACTTTTTCTGGTGCTACACTTTGTTTTGAACTGGAAGCATATGCTTCTTTAGTTTTGTAGTTATACTTTTTAATAATCTTATTTCCTGAATTGTTTGTTATTATTTGCTCAGATTTGGATGATTGTGTAATCTGTTCATCACTGACAGTCTCAAGTTTATCAAAATTATTATATGTAGTGATAATATCATCTGTTTTGTGTTTGGCGTGCGGGAAAATGCGCTTTAGTGATATTGATTTTTCAATTTCAATTATTTTCTCTTTGTGAGACTTCCAAGAATTAGATTTAGTCACCTCGGTATAACTTGAATTATCTTTACTATTACTTTCAGTTTTAACACTATCTGATTTAGTTGAAGTAGATATATTTGTGGTTAAACTTGTCTTTGTGATGGATGCATAGGTTTTAGTATCAGTTTGTTTTTCTTTAGTTTCCTCTTCATTTTGATGCTGTTTTTGCTCTTTGCGGCGATTGGCAACAAATTCATCGCTCCAAATAACTGGTGGTGGTTTATGTGCCTCCAACCACTCTGCGGTGCACTTGTTTTCGGGTTCTTCTTCTTCAAACCAAGAATTTACATGATGAGTTTTGCATACCTCGTGGAAACTCTCCGCGGACAATGAATTCAATAATTGTAGTAAATCTTGTGACATGTTTTAAAATGTGCACTTGGTTTCACAGTTTTATGTTGATCAAATTGAGCTGCAGTGGTGATGCACGTAATGCGGCGCTGTGCGCACTGAATTACGTGAATGTTTTGATTCTAATTTATAATATTGCATTGATCGCACGTTATCACGCACATTAGAATATCATACGTGCAGTCTGTGAGTCACAATCCCGTCTAAAAGTCGCGTTTTATCCGCCAAGGTCGGTGATGTGCCCGCGGTAGAGTAAAATACAAAAATCCCACATGTAACAGTTTCATTTGAATTATTCTCGGATCACACGCATTGCTTTCCGCAAATAAGAGGTTATATGGATTTACTGAAGTTTGATTAGTCACAAAACTTTCTCGATGTGCATACAAATATAATTTACAAGTGTTTATTAATAATTTAGAATTGACAAGTGTGACTGCTGACAAAAGTTTAAACGAAATGTAGAAAAGGTGAATGTTTTGTTTTAAACTTCAACTAAGTTATCAGTGTTTCGGCAATCAGTAGATTTATTCCAGATTTCCTGGCTTTTTCATTTTACTTAGCTTCGTCCATCAATCTTTCCGGATTGGGAGAAAAGTTAACGCACCCGGGGCTGTCGCAGCAGTCCGGGTCGAACCGCAATTTATTCACCGCAAGGAAACTGCGCAATTAATTGAAACTCACCGACTAATAGCCGCCCTTTGTTGTGTTTCCATTGATTGCTCCAAACACCACACGCGCTAACGGTTCCAGCGAAAATTGATTAGTGTTTGCACGTTAGCCCATAGTTGCTATTGATAATATTTTCTTATTATATCGTACGTAATAGAAAAAGATTACAATGATTTATCGGACCTGTGATTAAATTAAATTGGAACAATGCCGAGAAGGAATTGTTTCACTGGTGATTTAGTCAAATTATTGGAAGATACATTTTCGATGCAATTTTGCATGATTAATAGTCTCCTTAGAGCGCGCATAATGCAAATTGCGAATAAGTAAAGAGCGCCGAGCGGAAATTGAACATTGCAAGCAGCGAGCATCAAAGAGTATTTTAACACAAATTGATTTTTCGGAGTTGCGCTCAAAGTGGAATTTACTTATCTTGGCTTCGTCGATCGACTGCATTGGGTTCTTTATAATCTGACATTGGGGGACAGATAAAGTTGTTTGTCGTGAAATATAAACACTAAGAATATATCGATTTTTGACTAGTTAAATCGTGCATCGCAAGATCAAAACATTGATTTTGTAGTAACGTGAAGTGAAGTGTAGTGTAGTGAAATGTAGTGAAGTGGTTGTAGTGTTATGTAACATTATTGGTGCGGTAAAAGTTAGCAGAAAGTAACATCGAAGTGTTCAGGCACAGGTAACAATTCAAATTAGAAAGCAACCGTAATTTTAATAGCCCACACGCATTTAACGTGACTCGGGAGTTAAATTAAACCTCCTGCAACGCAAGCAATTAATGCCGAGTATTACAGCGAAGCGAATTCGGCTGAATGTTCTATTGTGAAGCTAAGATACAACAAAACTATAATTTAAATTAATTCTTTCTACTTCCACTTTTAAAGCGCTAGTTTTTTACATGGCTTTGAGACATTAAAAGTAGTAGTTTAAACACGAGCGATCAAGACCAATAAAAATGTACTTTAGTCACGGATTTTAGCCACGGGGTGGAGGCTGTGCCTGCGCATTTGCTTGCACGGCGCGCCACGACATTTATAACGTTTCATTTTCCAGTAATGTGCGAGCGAATTTCGAAGATTTAAAATACAAAAGTTCAAATACAAAAATCTCAACGTGGAAATAAAGTAGAAGTAAAAAAAATAACGTATGCATAACGTGGCTAAACGTTGTTAAACACTCGATTAATTAAATGTTCGCTACACTCTTTCACGATCTCGTGACTAAAACTCCCGTTTAGCCACTTGATACTAAATATACTATTTTACATACAATATACTTTAATAATATTATCTTAGTTGTTGATTATCCCAGTGGCGGATTACGGCCTAGGCGCACTAGGCGCGCGCCTAGGGCCCCGGCTGCCTGGGGGGCCCCGGCTGCCTGAGGGGCCCCTGGCACTTATATGTCCCATATAGACATAGTAATTCCACAAATACTTCATCAGTTGGTTTTGACCTCAGCCTTTATGAATAGCGTATTGGTTTTCACTTGGCGCCCAAAACGGCATTTCACACGTGTCCGCAAAGCAACCGTCACGGATATATAGCTGACTTAAAACTTTTTATCTCCGATTTTATTTCTTTATGACAAACTGTTTAAAATAAAATTTGGATGTTTTCTGCCACGAATTTTTGTGACCTTTTCTTGAATATTGCATTAGAAAGTTGTAGCTATAATGCGAGTAGTATATTGCCAATTTTTTTTTAAATTTCGAATATCTGTGGAGGAGATGAGTTGAGGAATATTCCATTAAGGTTGTAAAATAGCGGGTAACTCTCTTTTTTGGAATATTAATTATTTCGTCTTTCTATCATTTTTTCACATCTGCGGAACACGTTGTACCAACGTTTATCCTCCTACAATTTTTATCTAGATTTTTGGGGTGGTAGTTGGATTAAAAAAAAACAGAGTTCAAAAGAGTTCGATCAATTTGAGACGGCACTGTTAACAATTTTCTGGAACAAACTCCTACAGAGAATCGAAATTACCAGCAAATACTTACAGGAACCAAAGACAAATATTCTTAATAGTGTTAGTTTATTAAAATCATTAAACGAATTTATAACAGTGGTCATAAATAATTTCGAAACTGTTGAAGAGGAGGCTAAATCCCTAACAGCTCATCATTCTTATAAAGAGATGAGACAAAGAAAACGCAAATATCCATATGATGAAACGAACAAAAATGATACAGCATTTTCGTCAAGAAATTTTTTTATTGTCAACATTTTTTATATTGTATTAAAATTTTCTTTGATTTAAAATTAAGCCGTGTTGAGACTAATAATTGTGTAGAGCGATTATTGTCTAAGTATGAAAAAGATATTGAGCCAGAATATTTCACTGATGAGTTAACTCATTTTCTAAAATACGTACAAGAAGAAAATATTAGAGATCCACATGAAATGTATGCAACATTAAGTAATGGTCTAAAATCAACTTTTCCAAATATACACACTATACTGCAAATTTTTTTGACCTTGCCCGTTTCTAATGCAAGTGGAGAAAGGACATTTTCAGTTTTAAAACGAGTCAAAAACTATCTGCGCAATAGTCTTTCACAAGAGCACTTAAATGACTTCGCATTCATGTTCATAGAAAATGATATTTTTAAAAAAACTAGAGTACGACAAAATTATTGAAATCTTTGCCCAAGAGAAGGCAAGAAAAGTAAATTTGTAATTTGTATTTAAATACGATTACCGTTTTTGAGCACACGTACGATGAACTCGAGAACCAAGATAGCATTGAAAACGATAATCCCATCGATCGGTTCTGAAATCAATTAACGCACAACACCTGGTCCACCGCGAAGAGCGAATCGGAAGATAATCCATTAAATTTTGGAATAGTGCATGTGGATTAGGCCTGCTGGGGATACCACGATAAAAAAAAAACGCGCCAGGTGCTCTACCTCATGGTGGTGTGGAAATGAGTTTTTGGCACAAACGAATGTGGAAGTAGACTTTGCGGCGCCCGTACGTTAAAACTATTAATTTTACTGGGCTAATAACCGTTTTTGAAAATTTTCGGATTTAGGGGCCCCAAACTTGATTTGCGCCTAGGGCCCCACTGAAGTATAATCCGCCACTGGATTATCCACAAATTACGAGCTGAATAAACCAAACATTCAACTTTAGCCTTTTCACCGAAAACAACATCGCTTGTAGGCTAATGTAGATTTGTTCATATCTAAGATGTAAAGTCTGGTAAAAGGTTCGCGCGAAGAGCTGAAAATCAAATCCTGGTCCTGGGTCGACCGGACTTCGAATGGGATAATTCGTCCGGGTGCAAAGGACGAGCGCAAAGGTCGGCTGTTTGCCTTCCTGCTTATTATTATTAATCGCCAGGCCTTAAACGCACCGCCACACCAACGCGCGTCTCTGGATAAACATAATACCAGCAGTCTGTTAACCATTTAATTATACATGAACGTGTACGAGTATGTATTTCGAATCTCTCACTTCCAATCTGCTTCCATCCGGTATTCAGTGTATTATTAAAGAAAAACATGCCAAGAATATTTTTACTACACTAAAATCGTAATTAAACATAAGCCACAGAATAATAAAAACAATTTGTTCTTAAATTACCGAAAAAAATCACATTTTAAAGTTTTTCTTTGAAATATTTCATTAGAAACAA